AAAAGACTCTTTTGAGAGAAAGATGTTATAAATTTCAGCCGACTGTGACACTAAGTGTTCGGTCAATATTATCCTTTACTGCTATGTCTTTGAGGATGCATTCTACAGGCAAAATGTTTAGGATCATGCTTTCTTAAAAAAATCCCCTTAAAATTATATATTTTTATATTTTTTTAAAGTAAAAGATAAAATTTCCATAACTACAGTGTATTAGCCTTTATTTCTCAGTCTTTCTCCAGGTTCTTCTTACTATACAAGTTCAAATTTGAATTCGTCTGTCCATTTTGCGAAATTACAAATATTTTGTATGATAAACATTATATTTTGTTTTCACTATTAATCGCTCATTAGACTTTTGAGATTACCAAAATGGCTGGCATTTTGGTTCAGGTCAAAGGAATCATGAAAAAAGGACAATGTTAGTCGATTTTGCAAAGACATACTATACCATCTGGTTTAAGTAAAAGATACAATTTCAGTAACTACAGTGTATTTGCTTTTATTTTTCCGTCTTTTTCCAGGTTTCTTTTATAACCAAAAATTTCAAATTTATATTTATCTGTCTAGAATACATTTTGCTAAATTATGAATATTTAGTAGGTGAAACATTTTTTGTTTTCACCATTGACAACTTTTGGGGATTACCAAAATTTAAATGCTAATACAGGTTTTAAATGTTAAAAGTGACTAATGTTGTGAACAAAACATATGTAGCTGTCTCTATTTGAAAAAAAAGTTTGTGCCATTACATTATTTTCATAGATTTTTTTTATTTATGTTTGAATTTTGAAGTAATTTGAACAAAATGCCGAAATCAAAATAGCTGAGCATTGAGGTGAGGACACAAATTTGAATTTTATTTAAAGAAGGCTGCTCTCAAAGACAAATTGCCAAAAGTAACAACTGCTACTGAAGATATGCACTTAATTATTGAGAGCAAATGAAATAGAAGGAAAACTCGGCATTAATAAGTATCGCTCTCAACTTTGAAAAATCAACATAGACCAGTAGTGGTGTATCATAGGCATCAAGAAACCCCTGTTACGGAAGGTGAATATGCAGAAAAGACTGTCATTGTCAAATAAGCATCTGAACTGGACATTCAAGGATTGGCAAAATGTCTTGTGGATAGACGAGTTCAAATTTGTACTTTGGTAGGAGAGTATATGGGAGAAGAAAGCTAGGAGAAAAACTGAATGATGAATGTGTTGTTCCAAAAGTTAAGCATGGTGATGGGTCTGTTATGGTGTGGGGGTGTTCTGGAGGAAAGAGTACTGGACGTTTGATTCGGGTCAAGAGAATATTGAAAAAATAACAATATCATTTGATTTTGCAAAGTCATGCTCTATAGTCTGGTTTACGCATAATTTTAAAAAAAAATCGACTTTTAACAAGACGTTTAAAAAAGGCGCTTCTAAGTTATATCAAAATTACCTCGAGTCAAAAAAAAAACGCACAAAACTTTGGAAAGTGTGACTTGGCCACTTCAATCACTTGACCTTTCTCCGAGTGAATTAGTATGGGACGAATTGGGTTGGAGAGTTCGAAGAGAATATCCAAAGAGTAAGAGTGAGCTTTTTCAGTGCTTGAAGATTTCTTGGGGAGGTTTTGCATCTATTCTTTGCAAAAACCATTGGAAAGAATGCCAAGAATTTGTAACGCAGTAATTAAGGCAGCTGGTGGTTTTATTGACATAAACACAATATGATGCTGTTATATGATACTTTTATAGTTAATTACTTATTGTTTTGTCAAAATAAAAGCAAATACAATGTAGCTACTGAAGTTTTTATCTTTTAATTAAAAAATACAAACTCATTTTAAAGTGTTTTTTTTTTAAATTCAGAGTGGCTCCAAATTTTTTGCCTGTAGTGTAGGTGTTCATTCTTTCCATAATTTTCTGGGGTTTTTTTTTCGCTTGAAGTCACCTTAGACCATTTACCATCCTTCTTTGTTCTTTTAGTATCACCCGTTCACACAAACGTAAGTAATTGAGTAGTTCACTCGTTGTTTCACCTGCCTCTTGTGCTATATAAATTTCAGCTGTCATTTTCCGGTTATAAGTATCTTTGCAGTTGCCATTTTCTTTCAAACTTACTTGTTGTTGTCATGTTCTCTCCATGGCATTCTAAACATTCATCGATAGAACTACATATGCCACATCACGACTCGTCTTCCTCTGTGAGGAGATTGTCAAGCATTCTCTGTCATATAACATATCTGATATTACAGAACAGCTTTGCATTAACTTGCTGCTTTATGGTAGCCTTGTGTCTGATTTAGCTAAGCTTATTAAGCATCTCTTATTAAAAGGGTCTGGGTGGTGTTCGTGTAACCTGGAAGTTCACATGAATTTATTATTGGCGTCGAAGGGACAATTTTGTATAAAAGGCAAAAGGAAATGAATCATTTATGCAGTGAAGTTGGGCACCTCGAGGCGGTGTAATGGTTAGCAATGTTGTCTCGCTAGAACAATTACGAATGAGTAGTGAGTTCGATCCTCACTGGGAGCCACGTCTAAGCTACGCTTGGAAAATCGCTATACATTGAAGTTAAGCATCGTGGTGCTCGGTCTCTACTTAGATGGGAGTCGGCTTGGGAATACCTGGTGCAATAAGCAACCTCCTACAATCCGAGATATATTTTGGGTTTATATAACCTACAAAGGGTTGATAATTCGTAAAAAATAATCAATCAATAAGTTATGCAATGAACTGAATAAATTTCAAGTATCGGAGCCATACAAAACTAACGTTTATAACATCCTTATTTTTTAAACTTTTATAAGTTTACCATTCATCAATGCATTGAATATTTCTATCGCATTTAGTCTGGTGTTTCTGTTAATTATGTAGCGATTTTTAAAAATAAAATCCAAAGAAGAATGCACAATTTTATCAGTCCTGAACTGGCATCTCAGCTTTAGTCACCTTCTCGAGGTCTTAGCGTTGCTCCATTTGCCATTTCTGTAAATATATTTCATGGTAATTGTTATGATGGTCTTTCATCTTTGGTATGTCAACTTTACGAATTTAAGCGCAGTACTAGATTGGCAGTATGGTCTCGTCATTTTAAAGTTGGAATTGCTAGATGGAACCGTAGCTAATAGTTTCTTCTCGCTTGTGGAACTCTTTTCCGGATTCTGGCTTTCAAACCAACTTTGATCTTCAAAAATTTAACTGCGATGTCAATCGTTGTTTTATATTTTCTTAATTCTATTTCTTTTATTGGCTTCTCCTTAATATATATTTTTTAATCCCAGATTCTTGTAAACTCAGTAACCGCTTCTGTCTTAATTACTTTATCGCCGTGCTTGGGGTGAAATAATTTTAAAATGTCAATAGGACAGACATTGTCCTTTATTAATTTGAGTGTATTTTTTTTATTTTAATTCAATACATTTGGTTTTATCAAGTAACATCCAGTTCCAATTGTATCAAATTTTCATATCTCCTCTTCGACGTTCTCACCATTGTCGTTTATTCCGCTTTTATGTTTACTACGGTGGCTTTAGTGTAGCACAGATTGGCCAAAATGGTAGCAATCGGCCGTAGAGATCTATTCCATTCCCGGCATTCATTCACTTTAGCCGCCTTTATACAAGATCATTTGCCTATGCTAAATGCAAAATTCTCCCTGTGACGCCATTAATAAATCCATCTTTTCATATCACTGATCTGGAAGTTATTGTTACGAAGGCAGGGAAGTCATTTTGAACTGGTTTGTGTTTGCTTGGGGATTAAAGTAACTACTCACCACAAAACCAGCAATTAAGAGGTTGTTCTATGCTCCTTAAAACCTCCTGATCAGAAGCCTTGCTTTCGGATGTAGTTTATCGTCTTACCCAGGCTGCGAATGTAGTTTATCGTTATACCAAGGGCGGAGTGTGTGTGTGTACCTTTGTTAATATATATATATATATATATATATATATATCATACTTATTATAAAACACAGGTTGTGTGTGTGTGTGTGTCTGTACGTTTATATATTGGATCGGATTTCCTACATTTTTCAACCGATTTCAACAAAACTTCACAGGACTACGTAAAATTACCTTGCGGTGGTTCTGACAGCGCCAAAATTTGGAAAAACACAATTGTTTTTGCACGAAATCAATTCGAAAACACGATTAAGAGGCAGTGCTTTCGCGGAATGAAAGGGGGACAACTCATATCGAGTTATACTTATTATAAAACCCAGGTTGTTTGTTTGTGTGTGTGTGTGTGTGTGTTCGTTTATATATGGGGTCGGATTTTTTGGCAGGTAGTGTTTCTTATTGTCTTGCACACTTTTTCTTTATTTTTACATCCAGAATGCTTTAAAAATTCCATTTACAAGACAATTGTTTATAATAAAATTCTATTCAATCGGTAGACTCATAACGATTGAAAACAATATTTTTGTTTAAGTTTGGGTTTGACCAATTCGTAAAAAAAAAAAAACAACAAAAAAACAAAACAAAATTAAACAATAATCTTTGTCAATTTTATTTTTCAGTCTTTATGATAGTCGATACTTGATCTATCTCTTACTGTTACATCCCCGGGCAACACCGGGCTCTACTGCTAGAATATATATATATATATATATATATATATATATATATATATATATATATTAGGTTAAACATTATTTTTAGTAGACACCCATATTTGAGTAGACGCTCCGTTTATTTTTTAACTATTTTATTTTGTCTACCGGTCTGAACATTTGGGAAATCTTATTAAAAAAAAAACGTACTCTCCGGCAGGATTCGAACTAGCGTCCACCTTTGCAGGAGAAACCATCGTTTAACCAACTTAGTGTGGTATATATAAAATATTATCGCAAAAAAAAAAAGAAAAAAAGAAAAAAAACGCGTAATGTAGGAGTTTTTCGCTTTAGATTACCAGCTATTAAACTGATATATAGAGTTATATCCAAAATACACACACACGCATGCATACACACGCGAACACATACACACAGATATACGCATATAGACACGCGCAGAGGCCTTACGGCCATATCACATTGAAGCATAAGTTTTTGTGCGGTCACCGAAGTTAAGCAACGTTGAGCCTGGTCAGTACCTAGACTGGTGACCGCTTGGGAATACCAGGTGCTGTAAGTTTACATGGGAGGCTGGTGTAAATGGATAATGGCTCGGAATTGAATCACTTACGCGCAAATTCCCCCAGCTATGGGTTAAATAGTAAGACTTGTATCAATAAATTATTATTATTTCAAAAAGAATTCTTACAATATAAAAATAATTTTGGCTTCAGATAACCTGCAAAAGGTTGATAAGCCTTAAAAAGAAATCAATCACATGACCCCAATAAAACACACATGAGCGAGAGAGAACAATAACTTAAATTATTGCCACGATGTTTTATGATATATATATATATATATATATATATATATATATATATATATATATATTTAAATAGGATATAGATATATTTGTGTCTGCGTGTGTAGAATTTAATTATGTGCTTATATTTGGGTGTATTCTATCATATCAACTATATATTCCTTGTAATATTATTCCTCTATGTGTTTAACTGTCTGCGATTTATAGCCGTTTTGTTGGAAATGATGTAGAAATCTGGCTTGATGTTTGATTTACATATCCATAAGAAGAGGACATATGAAGAATTTCAATGGGAATCATAAATATGGAAGATGCAGAAATACGTCCAAGACTCAAATGATGGGATTCTAACGCACATGCAATGAAAAAGCAGATAAACAATAATAATAATAATAATAAAAATAATGACTTTTTCCACTACTTACAAACTGTTGACATATATTGTAACAAAGGATGTATTCTGTTGAGGGTTTCTCCCCTTTTTACACAAATGGACTCACCCAGGGTATACATACCCTACTACTAGTGAATACCCGGAAGAGCGAACGAGAAAGAGTGACGAACGAGCACGAACCAGAACGAACGTAGCGATCAAGAGTCACAGTGAGCAAAGCACGTAGACTCAGTAAGAAGTCATACAGTGATACGTCGATACAAAAGACTATATATATATATATATATATATATATATATATATTGCTATTAACCCGCATTCCTGGAACTACTAACCTGCATTATCAGTTTGTATTATTACATTAATACATTTATTTTCCTGTATTCCTTCTTGGCGTTTGTTATTTATTGGTACCGGATTTCATCCCGGAATCCGCAACATATTCGTTCTTAGAAAAAAATGGCATACTACCTCTTGAAGAAAAATGGTACAAACGTGGCTCTTACGGATGTAAAGACCAAATACTTATTAATAGGATGATCTTGAAAAACTGCTTCAATATAAAGAAAAATTTCAGCACTGCCTGGTTAGAATGTCGTAAGGCATTTGATAGTGTACCCTATTCCTAAAGTCTTTAAATATATACAAGATATCATGCGTTGTCATCAATTTTAATCAAGCAAAGTATGTCGATATGGAAAACAACACTTCAACTCAGTCATATAAATCGGGTGAAATAAACCTCAACATTTAACGTGATTCTTCCTTGCCATTTTGTATATCCCTCATAGTATTAACCAGGTAAATTAATAGGACGGAATATGGCTATATCTTAAAAGAAAATAAGTCATCTATTTTACATGGATGACTTAAAGGTGTAAGCTAGAAGATCAGTAAATTTTTTCAGTGATGACAAAATTTTACGAGGATTACTACAACAAACCCCTTCTATTAGCTTAGACCCTGGGGTAACAATGAAAAATTTAGAGCAAGAAGAAGCTTATAAGTACCTCGGTGTAAATGAGAGTGATGGAATTCACCATAAAAATGAAAGAAATTTGCGAAAAGAGTAAAATAGAAGGGTGAGATTGATATTAAGAACTGAATTGAATTCTTAGAAGAAAAGTATGGCCATTAACAGCCTTGCCATCTCAGTCGGTCAATATAGTTTCAACATCTTGAACTGGACTCTAAATGATATCAGACGAATGGTTTCTAAGACAAAAAGCTTCTTTCTAAGCATAACGTACATCATCCAAAGGCTGATGTAGACCGTTTATATATACTCCGTAAAGAAGGCGGAAGAGATCTTATTCAGTTAGAAATGTCATACATGACAACAACTATTGGCTTATTAACATACATGGAAACAACAAAAGACTGAGTGATACAATTAGTCAAATAACAGGAAAACAGAAAGAAAACAATATTCAATCATGAAAGAAGGTTGTAAATACAAACAAGATTTCATTTAGGAGATTCTGTAGAAAACTAAAACAGAACCCAAAAACCAACTATTGCTGCGAAAATTATGAAAAAAAAAGCCAAGGATAAAACTCTTGAGCTGATGAAACAACGCTGTCAAGACAAACCTCTGCATGGCCAATATCCAGATCGTGCTAATAAAGCCGATGTTGATTAAGTTAACATTCATCGATTGTTACAAGCATCTGGCTTAAAGGCTGATATGGGAGGCTTTATTCTTGAAGCGCAAGACCAAAGTCATAAGAAACTTTCATCAAATATCATACATAATACTCTAGATCCAAAGTGCAGGTCCTATGACAAATATCAGGAAACCATAGACCATCCAATCTCAGGATGTTCTATCTGAGATAGATAGATAGATAGATAGATAGATAGATAGATATAGACTAAGATATATATAGATAGATAGATAGATATGGGAGAGACTAAGATAGATAGATAGATAGATAGATAGATAGATAGATAGATAGATAGATAGAAAGAAATAGACTAAATATATATATATATATATATATATATATATATATATATATATATATATATATATATAGATAGATAGATAGATAGATAGATCCGTTGGGTTATTTAATGGCGAATTTTGTATGGGGATCCCAGTGAGCAATGAATTCAGTATTAACGCTAGACTAGACTAGCCTCAATAACTGTTGGTAGGACAGACAGTTACAAACTTCCCACCAGTAGAAGTATTCAGTATTCAACCACAGAAAAAAGACTGCCTCACAAATGATGATTTTCAACGATCGCTTTTTAGGTGAAAGCCTGGGCGTAGGGAGTTGGTAAATCTGTTTTAATCCACTCTGTCACAAGACTACAGTAGTGGGACACTCAGTTGAAACCTAAATCACTAATAATAATCTATAAAACTTGCTTGCTAACCATTTGTCTGATACAGAGCTATAATACAGAGGCGTTTGTGGTAAATGAAATAATTACATTAGCAGCAGTTAACAAGACATAGCTGGCTACCACCATTCTACAACAAGCCCCCTTTTCTACGCATGCGTATGCCAATACGAAGCGAACACACTTAAAGAACGACATTTAAGACGAGTAACTTAAAGATGACTTTCACAAAGTTTCTAGGTCTCAGCGCAAAGACACCACTTACAAGAATATTTTACAGCATTGCTTGAGGAAGTAATGGATGTTTGTTGATTATAAATCAGTAATTGCTAATTTTGTACGCTAGAGGAAGAGAAGGACTTGATTTCAAGCCAACACATAACGCGTGCTTCAATCGGCGGTCAATACAGCTTTTGAAAAATCCGCTTGACATAAGACGTGTAAATATCAATTTGTTACTTAGGACGCTGGTCGTGTCTCGGCAAACCTTTATTCGAAATGGAAAACTTGAAGCCGTCTTTCTAATGATTCCATTTAGCGTCTGGCTGTCTTTGGTTTTCTTCCACACTGTCTGTTCGAGAAAAGACATTTACATTGACACGCCCGACATTCTAACCTGGAGATGCGCTTGTCGACCTGACAAGCCATTTCTACTGGACTAAGCTATGAAACAATCGCACCAAATCTACTTCGGACTCGGACAAGGAAATACTGCTGAAGTACTTGTACAGGTTATATTCACTATCTGTAATGTCGTGCTATTCGTGGTTACGGTCTGTGAAAATGTCTCGTAAAGATTGAGTACGTTTTAAATTGGTAAAATCCGAACTTACTTACACGGCTGATCTAACACATTTTAACATTATGGAATAATACAGATTTTTCAGCGCTGTCTAGGGGTTTTGGATGGCGTAGCAGTTATCAAATAGGGAATAGCAGAGTTCGAAGTTAGATTGAAGCTGCTTATATTTATTTAACATTATTTCTCCCTGCACTCAGTCCCATGACGATATAAATTGACATAAAATATTGTCGCTAGTATGCCATAAGGATATCTGAAGATTGTGATTAATCACTTCGGATCCTATAACTACCTCCTCTGACCAGATAGTAATCACATTCCTCCCCATTCTTTTGAACAGGAGTAGAGGTTTATCCCTTGTTTCCTGTTTATGAATGAGTTTCCGGTTCATGCTAAAGTCTACTTCAACTCTATGCTGCTATCCTCTCCGTTTGAACTCTGAAATTTTATTTAATAATTATTTATTTTTCTCCTGATTAAGAGTATATAGGTTCACCTCTCGTCCGGTTCACACTCCTCCCCATCCTTTTGAACAGGAGTAGAGGTTTATCCCTTGTTCCCTGTTTATTTTTGTGTTAGATACGTTGAATAGAAAATATATTCAAACCAGAATTTTTATTAATAACTACAAGCAAAATATGAAATTTTTTTCTTTATTCGATAAGTAAAAACTATGTCAAAATTTGTAAAAGAGTACAAAAAAGCTACTTCATGAATAAGATCTTACACCATTTGTTAGACCATATTAATAAAAAACAAAAAATAGCTAAAAGTGTATATAACACCATAATATTGCTGGGCATAAATTATAATGCAAAATGCTTTAAATTTGCTTTGTTTATTAAAAATCACACTAAAACTACTGCACCGTATAATATATTACATCATAATGTTGCTAAATTTCTTTAAAAAATATAAATTTCCTTTGCGGTAAATGAAGGTCTTATTTGATGGCACATTTAATTTAGTAATAATGCATCTTGTTCATATACAAAGCTACAGTAAATTTTCTAAGGCTGTGCTATAAGGCTTTCACTGGTCACAGGAATGAAATTCTAACGCTACGATTAGAAAGCTAAACTTCATCTTTATAACCCATTTCCTCAGAAAGCCGTAACGATTTGTCGTTATTTATCATGTCAAATCCGAACTTTCAAATTGAGTGAAATACCACGCTTCCAAAAGCAACCAGCCCTAATATAC